TCCAAACACAGAGGCACGGGCAGGCTAATTGCAGCCCTGTCGGCAGCGGCAGTCAGCCCCGACTAAACGCACTGGCGCTGTGAACTAGTTCGGTCTGTTACCGGTGATTCAGAGGCGCCGTGTCACGCTCCATGGTGGCCCAGACGCCATGGGAGCGGCGCCACGCCAATTTACTCGTGTCCGTGATTCCCAGAATGGATGGAAACGCGCCGCCTGGACAGTCTGGCCTCATGGAGGACAACATTTGAAACGATTCAGCGGACTCAGCTGCTGTTGATTCATTCGGTTCCCTTTGATATTATGCACAACTTTATATCCACATGATAATGGTGTCATGTGTAATATGACCACCTGGCACACGTAACACGATTATTGATATGTTATGCAACTATATGTTTGTTTTATACACAGATTATGTAATATCTGACTTTGCACAAACTCATCGATCATTTGACGACTAACAGCAATGCGAATTCCGCATGCACTCAGGAGGAGACATCCGCCGATAGTCTGTTGTGTGTCCCATGTTCTCTGTTGACCCTGACACTGTGACAACAGATTGAGCACGTCTGACCGACTAACAGACGGCGAAACAGTCGCGCACAGCGACAACATCACGAGCAGGGTGGGTGCCCGCCCTCACACTGTTGTTCAGGGTTAATGATGATTCTCAGCTCAGTGTAGCGGGTAATTGGCAGGTGACAAGACGTTGGACGATTAACGAGCTCGTAAAACGCACTGAACCGTGCTAACCAGCCAGCCAATATATTATTGTAAATTATGATGACGCTGTGGCGAAGTAAGACACAAGTAACGTTTATTTTGCGGTGAATTTCAGTAGAATGCATTGCCATCTTACAGGCGATTCTGCATATGCCTTGAGAAAAACCTCAAATGCTTAAGCCGTGGGCATTTGAACCATTTTGACACAACACGATGGGCTGACGCCGAACGAAAACCATTACGACAAAATATAAGCCTTTACCGATTTCAGTAGATGTAAGCCGAGGGATTGATAAACAAAGCTTAAATGGCTTGGACCTCGGAATGAGATCAGCTAGAAATGCTGTTGTATTTGGCAAAGAAAAAATAATGAGTGATTCTAAACAAATGGGAAGGTCGTTTTGCTGAAGAGCGGCATTTAGATTTTCTTTCATTACATTTTCTTTTCTTTTATTCTGCAATTTATCTTCGCCTTTGAAATAATTTCAGCAGGAAGAGGCCAGCAAACAGTGCCGTAATTCATGAATTCATAAAAGCATCGAATACCATTAGGGGAAGTTGGGGCAATGCCGGAGTTGGGGCAAAGCCGAAATTCGAGATATTTCGAAAACCGTAAGACATGGATGCCACCTGTCAAGTGCTCTGAAGCTTAAGTGACTACAATTATCGCATGTTTGTTACGAGTCGTCATTCGGAATACTTCGGCTGTGAGGGCGCCAAGAGCGTTTTCAAGGTACGCGTTCCTTGTACTACATGCGCCTTTGAAGCTGCATTTCTTACTCATTATGCTACCGTTTGTTTGGCCAATTCGGTCAAGTAATCTTCAGCATGTCTTTGTATAAGTGTGCTGCCTATTTGAAATTTATACGGCACGTTGAAAAGTTATGGGCCTGCAAATGAAAGTATGGCTGGCTGGGGTAATGCCGAAAACGTGCAATTACGCACGTTAAAGCACGCTACGTGGACTTTACTGCTGTAGAATAGCAACGCGAATTTTTAGTCACACAAATTACACTTTCAACCGACACAACGGCCTGTTACCTATAAGGAATTATTTACCTGGCATTTTCTTATTATATCACACAATTATAACTTCCAGTGTGCACCAAGCGTCCTCAAGCTCTTAAAACGCGTGTCAGCTTTGATAAATTCTGGATAAAGTTTGAAATAAAGTGGCAAAACATCAATGTCGGCATTCCCCGTAAATCATTTCTCCCATTTTCGGCTTTCCCCGCAGTCCGGGGCAACGCCGAAAAAGTCACTTCTTTGATATTTTTAGTTTGTGCGCTTAACGGTATGCGAATTCATCAAATGCGCCTGGTATGTTTGAAAGGCAAAAGACTGGCCTCTCAATGGCCTCTCAAATGACGCCAACAAGAATAGCTTATGTTGTCTACCTTGCGTGCTACGGGCGTCAGAAAAAAAGTATTCGGCGTTCCCCCAACTTCCCCTAGCAGTTAAATCGCTTTCCAAAGGTGACTACCTTCTATCGCTGAGGTAATTGTGAGGTAACTCTGCAGCTCGCCATACGGCGACCACAACCGCCGCTGCACCATGAGGAGGGAATGGCATCACCAGACCGATCCGACCTGACTCGACCCTCCGCGGCAGCGGTGGCAGCGGTGGTCGCCAGCCACAGCCGTGCCGCCGGCTACCCGTCTGCCGTGTTTAACACCGCGGCCATCGCCGCAAACGAGGTGAGTGGGAGACCGCCGCACACGCGCGCCACGTCTTCGGATGCCGTCATACCCGCGCAGTGGAGGGGTGAGCGGGTGGGAGGCGCTGGCGAGTGGCCGCGGAGGCAGGCCGTGACCCATGGCACCCGAGCGTGGAAACGGCGGCACTCCGAGACTGACAGCCGCAGCGCCGGCCGTCTCAGCAACAGAGGCTGGATCAACGCTGACAATGCTGTGTTTTTATATCCATTACCTAATTTAGGATAGTTAGGGCCAATTAGTGACACCAACAGACCCGAGAGTTGCAGCATGTTTTGACATTTAATATCAGGAGAGGAAAACAACTTACCTATTCATGGTGCATAGGTAGGCCTTTCTGGAATCAGCGATCAGCATTGGCTCTTGCTTCCTGACCTTTGGAACTATCATGAACATTGAACATTGAATATTGCTGTCGCCAAGTGCCATCAGGGTGTGTGCAAATACCAAATGCAACTCGACCAGTTACCATTCAAGGGATCTGTCTACCCTACAACTCTAATTCAGGCCGCATAGGTTTGATTAGCTGACTTTTTAGTCCAGACATGATTTCAAACCGGTTTACGACAACAAAACAATTGATTGGTCGTACTGACCAGAATGTTGGTGGAAGCGGTCGCCTATCCAGTGGATAGTAAACCACACATGCACCAAAGCAAGAGCAGAGCCTACGTTCCTCCACTTTCTGATCGGTGTCCACTGAATGGGCCTATGCAAGTGGTGACCTTTCTTGACCTGACCCACGATTGACCTGTGACCCCTGGCCACCAGGCGGCCGACCCCCGCGCCCCATCGGTTTCAGCGTGTGGTGTGGAGAACCACTGAGGCGTAACTTCGTAAACTAATGTGGCGTCGTATGCCACGGCCCACAATGGTGTATTGTGGTCCGTGGTATTGGTAACGACGCAAGTCGATACTGCACGCCGTCTAAACAAACTGGTGATGCAGATAACAGAGTTCCACCATATCTAAACGGCAAGCGCTGTCTCATCAGTCATCATGTTTGTCAACAATGAATTAAGATCAAAAGCGCACCTCTGCAGTGGGTACGGGAAACTACATAAAATCTGTTTTTCTTTTGTTATTTTATTTGTTTATTCATAATTCCAGCATCTCGGACGCTGTTTTACAGTGATCTATGATTTATCATAGCGATGAATTGGTTTCCCCACTTTCGCCTTCCGTAATTTGATTTTAGTAATAATAAACAAATTGTGGCCACTTTAATGTTGTACTGCAATCCAAAAAGAGGCTGTGTTTCCCTAAACATGTTATTGACAGAAGGTATGGATAAATAACGGCCATTCCATGCCAAAATATTGTTTATCAAGGATTACATTTGCAAAACATTACATCCATTTTATTGAACTGTTGGGGACATGTATAGGCAAGCGTTTCAATGTGCATGAGTTACACCCGTCCCTTTTATAGTGAACAAAACTCTCCAGCTTTCAAAAACTCCTCGTATTTCGATTCCTTATGCTATATTGTGTAGTTTAAAGCAAACGTTCCCGATAAAAGTTGAAGCTTTATTTCTATTCTAGGACAAATTGACAAACTTCCATAGATTTTGGACGCTGCGAGGGGGCTTTTGTGCATCTGCCCTAAAAGACCTCTTGCATCCGTCAGCGGGGCCAAGATCTCAATTTGGAGAATCGAAACTCCTGGAACTAAGACTACCACGCGAAGGCTGACGGTTTGTGCTTGATACCTTATCCAGTCTCATCCATCGTATTCGTTGCACACTAAAGAGCTGCAATTGGAAGCTGTGAAGGATTAGGTACCTCTAAAGGTCTTTAGTACCTATGAATACTCACAGAGGATTTGGCAGCTTTCGACATAACAGGAATTTTATATTCTGACTAGTGTATGTATTGTGTGCCGGGCCGTGTAGCGTGCGACTTCGATCACTGAAGGATACCTTATCCAAGGCTGACTTCCTTATGAATTCCTTATGGAAGGGCTGACTTCCTTATCAAAAGAATTTATGTTGAGTCCCGAAGTTTGTCATTTCGAAGTACAGATAAAACAGAAAGTTGTCACCTCGTTATTACCCACGCCGAAGAAGCCGCTGCAGTAGAATCTGCTTAATAACAGACTAGGCGGCGGAACGGGGAGGGCACCGGGGCACCGTGGCCCCCTTTGATTTTGGCATTTTAACATTAGCCCTATTGGCGTTGCATGGAAAGAATTGGACCAAAAGTCGGCAGTGCCCCCCCCCCCCCTTAATTGAAGGTGTTCCGCCGCTACTGCTTTATAAATCCAGGTTGGTGACACGGCGTTTTGGATTTATTAGGCGGTGACATTATTAACCGGTGTCAGTTATGCTTTATAGAGAAATCCGTGAACAGTTCAAGTGGCCACAATAAGCGGCTGGATTTATTATCCAAGGATTCATCAAGCGGATTCTACTGTATATCGGCAGCATACACACATGCATCTCTCTCTCTCTCTCTCTCTCTCTCTCTCTCTCTCTCTCTCTCTCTCTCTCTCTCTCTCTCTCTCTCTCTCTCTCTCTCTCTCTCTCTCTCTCTCTCTCTCTCTCTCTCTCTCTCGACCTACCGTGATATGAACTGACGCCATCCTCTCCGAATGCCCCGAACCGATCGGGAGCTGCGCTGGCACGTCCGCCCCCTTCGGCTGCTGTTGTACGACTGAGACCCGTGCCGGCACTCTCGCCCTCGCTGAAGGCCGTCGTAAGGTCGCCGGCCGGCCCGCGGAAGTGGAACCGTCGCCCCTATCGCCTAAGGCGCTGCGGCGCCCAGCCGTCCCAGCTAATTTGCCTGTATTTCCGTCGTGTGCGCGTGGGTCTGTTCGGATCAGGATGGGTCCTTCCGCCGCAGTATCGTCCTCGGCTGCCGGCGTGGCCCGGGGCGCTCGAATATCAATGTTCGGGGATGGATGTGGTTGGTTTTTAGATAGAATCTGTTTATGAGTCAGCACGAAAGAACGTCTAAAATAAGGGCGAAAACACTTCGGTCATTTTTTGGGGGTCAGTTCAAAGGTCAGGTCACCAGAGGTCACCAAAGGTGAAATGTTGGCTATTTCAACATTTTGGAAACTGCCGACGGCTATCTCGGGAACCGATAGAGCTACAGCGCCGCGGAAAAGCGCATTCGATAGCCCTTTTACAGACCTTTCTGAGCATTGCTCTCATATTTGACCTCAGGTCAACGATTTAGCCTCCAGAGGGCAAAAACTCCAAAAATAGCCGTTTTTACGAAAAGTGTTTTTTTTTTTTCGGCAATAACTTTTGACTCAAAAGAGGCATGACATTACTTTTGCCAGCATCGTGTTCCTCTCGTCGAGATGAGTCGAATGAACTATAATTTGACATTGAAAGGTCAACTTGAAAATTTGACCTCAGTTCAAGGCCATGACCTGGCCGGAAAAGGTCATGTTGCATATCAGTCGATCCGCAACGTCAAGCCGAACACATCTAAGGCGTTTTCAGCGCTCTAGCACGCCTCTATCAGAAGTTATTAGCGAAAAACTGTTAGATTCTGTTCGTGACCTGAGATGCCCTCGGGGACATAACGAGGGGTCACAGTTGCGATTTTCCGGTTCAGTGCGTCAATTTTACCTACATCTCGATGTTTGATAGTGTCTAGAATAGCGTTCGTGCAAAACAGATGCTTTTCAATTTTCTCCCATTGAAATCAAATGACGAAGCACTCTGGTGAACAAACAGCATTATATGTAATATGTTTGATGGAATAACCTTCTGTTCAAAATTCCAAAAATTGCCAAAAGTTACAAAACACTTGAATATCTTTCGGATGCGTTCCTTCATCGGTTCAAGTGATAAACATTTATGGCGCCACATTTGCCGTTAACATAGGTAGGTATCTGATTCATGTTTTTTTTTTTTTTAAATATAAATCTCGCGTCTAGGTTGAGATGTGTCTTCTAATTTACATCGACAGAATTGCCTTTACAGCGTACGAACAAAATTAGCTCCTACACTTAATAGGTTAATAGGTTATAATGTTGATACTGTTCACACTTACACTGTTAATAGGTTACAAGATAGGGGGAGAGAAAGCGGGCAGGGATGAAGGGGGACAAAATTCTAGGCAGCTCACATCAGTACGATGCCTACCAAAAGTAAATACCACTGCCTGACAGGATATTAAGCATGCAAACGAATGAATGAATTGAATGGATGCACAAATGAATGAAGTATGAAAGAAAGGAGCCTAAGCATGTATGTGAGCAGTCGAATAAGAGAGAGAAATCCACACAATAATCGCTTCACATAAGTGTGTGTTTGGGGGGGGGAGGGGTCGTTCAACAAATCGAAACACATCTCATACCATAGGTACAGCCCACCGCTTAAGTAATGTAGGGTTGGAGTTGCGTTTGGTCAGCCGACCAGAGCGGACGTACGGACGCTCGCTCCGCCCGCGTGCGCGCGCGTGGCGTTACCGGTCAGTGTGCGAGAATTTGAAGCCGGAGTGTGAGTGCCAACCCTATCGTGCCCACTGCACATACTGTGAAAAGTGAAAAGCAATCTTCCTGGATCATGACTAAGCAAAGGAAGCGGAGACACGAATCTGGAACGCCGGATAAGGAGGAAGGTGAGCCACCACTGAAGGATGTGGTAATAGAGCTGAAAGCTTTTATCCAGGAAAAAACAGGCAAGGCTGTTTCAGAGATCAAGAAGTCATTCGATCAAAAATTAACTGGCTTAGAAGAGTCTCTGAACTTCGCGTTCGAATCAATAACGGCCGCATCCCGCAAAGTTGGCACTCTAGAAAAGCAAATGCAAATGACTCGCTGCGAGTGTGAAGATATCAAAGCGCGTATATGCCAACTAGAAAGAGAGATGGAGGAGAAAGAGAGAGCGAATAGGCTATCATCGCTAGTATTCGCTGGACAAGACCTCCATCTCCCAGACCAAGATGATCGTCTGAGATCAGTCATCACCGCGGTGATCAACCGTTGCCTTGAATTGGACGTACACCCAGGAGAAATCGCCTACATCAAACGTTTGAACCGAGACAGAGTCCTGGTGAAATTCACCAATGCTGAGAAGGGATCGCTCAGAGACCTCATCTTTCGGTCAAAAAATAGATTAAGAGGTCAAAGAATATACATAAATGAGTTGTTGACGCCACTGAGACAGGAGCTGTTCAATCAGCTGCTGCAAAAACGAAAACAAGGTCTTATAGCCTCTGTACAATCTCGAGGCGGTGAGATTTTGTATGCCGTCAGCAGAGGTGAGAGACTCAGTCGAGTTAGAAGCCAAGAAGAATTGGATCGTCTCAGCAGGCTTCTCTCGGGACAGGATGCTGATGCTCCCCCGCTCCCCCCGTCGGTGGTGCCTGGCGCCGCCCATGCGACCGGAGACTGCCAGACGGCCGCTGACCGGGCGGTGCCGGGTGCTGGTGGGAGCGGGGCGGCGCGGGCCGGTGGTGGTGGACCGGCGCCGGCTGAGAATACCAACCAACCCGCTTACCTGAGTCCGCCCTTGCCTCAAAGCTCGCGACCGGGCCCTCAGGGGCCCCAGCAGCGTGGCGGCGCCGGGGAGCTGGACAACGGCGGGCCGAGTGAGACGTCTGCTGCGGCGGGGACGGCTGTCCTATATTCGCGGCCTGTACTGGCTGACCGAGTCTCTGAACTGGCGCCGCCTATGGACTGTCAACCTGGCCCGATTTCCGTGGTTGACCTCCCAGGCGGAGGTGGTGGAGCTCGGCCGGAGCTCAGAGAGAGTGGAGAGTCGGCCGCGCCCTCGTCAGACCGGCCTCGGGTAGAGGGTGAGGGGAGGGCTCGCGGGGTGCAGAGCGTGGGAGAGCGCGCCCGGCGGCGAGTTACCTAAGTGTGGAACTGCAAGTCGATTCTAGGGCTCTGATTGGTGACTTTGGTCGGCGGATGACGCTTATAGCATGACGTCACTCGCGTACTTGGCCGGACCAACGGCGCGGCGCAGGCGCGCCGAGCCAACCCAGAGGCTCTCAAACTCAATTGTACAGATCCTGCGCATTGAATGGCGAAACTTCGGCGAGTTCGCTTGAGTTTGGAAGCCCCTGCCAGAGAACTGGAGACGGCCGGATTATTTGCTGGACAGTGGGCAGCGCAGATGGCGATTGACGGTGCCAAAAAGATGATAGGGAAAAGGGGTTGAGACTTGAGCAGTGAATTATAAGCCTGTTGCATAGCTGAGTGGTAAATTGTAAAATACTTAAGGTTTGAAGAGATGCAGTGTAGTTTAGCCGACTCAGGGCCAGGGGCATTCTGCCGAGTTATGTAAGGCGGAAGGGTCGCAACTCGCAAGTCGTTTGTTTACATGATTGCCTGATTAAAATGTAAAGCGTACCTAATGTTTAGTTGATAATACAGCGAGGTTGGGCATCTGCTCAATCCATTTCTTCTCTGCAATAGTGCATTCGCCACTGTAAATCATTGTAAGAGGCACTGGGCTGCGCCGCCTGTTAATTATTCCGAAACCACCAGTGAATTGTCACAGTCACTCACAACAATACGAATCGTTCAGTCGTGCGCTGGGGGTCCGCCAAGTTTGAGTGTGCTGCAGAATGCAGACTGGACCGCCGAGAATATAACACTTCCGTCTCCCTGGGCGAGCGGCGCATTGGAGCCGAAGGAAACTGCTTCAGTTTTTTGTGGGGAAGATACCCATGTTTGAAAATTATGTTCTGGAATAATGCGATAAGGAAAAGGACGGTTTCTTGAATTGAGGGCTGTGGAGAAGAAGCAGATTTTCTCATTTGCTACCCGATACAACGCGAAAAGACGCAAATGTTGCACATTGGGCTTAATACGTCTAATAAAAGATAAGGGACTTCGTGAATCATGCCTAACTGACCGCGACCCAGTTATTTGCCACTGCAGGTAGGTACTAGGTAGGTAGATACTCATTTGTAAACAGAGCGTTCCACTAACCTTCGCCAGAAATTCAATCAGAGGCCTCTTGCACCAAAATCCTCTTGCACCAATGCTTGGGTTATTTTGCATCGTTTACCCAGTCTAAGTCTCAAATGTAACAATTTGCGTGCAAAATTTAGCAAGCACATGTAGGATTATGTATTGGGCTATTGCAAACAAATTTACCACCGTTAGATTAGCTTATTCTGAAACCGGTTTTTCGATTTTACCTAGCTAGGTAGTTTGGTGCAAGAGGCCTCAGCAGTTGCTTATCTTAAAACGTTTGAGTGCACCTAACAACCTTTAAAAATGACGTCCTCTCTTTCAATGGTTCGTTCGAAGACACAAAGCCAGAATCAGCCAAGCAATATCGGAATCCATTGCGCAGTGTGTCGACTGTCGGATGTGCCCATCCACATAGCATAGCACACACTGCTAAATGCAGGTACGCTCACCTACACATTAGGTATTCGAAGGACTTGATAGCTCATACACATGGAAGAAACGCATGAAATGTGATTAATAGCTGCAGCAGAAGTTTGGCGTCCGATGCCTCTTCGCCAAGTTAAGACCATGCCAATCTCGGCCAGTCTGCCGCCGCGCCGGCACTGGCCGTGGTGTGACGTCATCCGGCCGGCTCGGCGCTGGGTAGTTCCACACTTAGGTAACTCGCCGCCCGGCGACCGTCCAGTGTTCCGGCAGGTCACTCGCGGGATGGGGTGGGGCGGGGTGGAGCGGGTTGGGAGCGCCATCTCTCGCCGACTCCGGCAATTCGGGGTGCGGGTGCTCCGCCGGGGAGGGCGATTCATATGACGGAGCGTGGGAGTGGGAGGACGGCGGCGTA